ACTCGTCAAAAAATTCCCCTATCACAAAATTGTATAGTTGACACCCAAATTACTCTTTCACTCAGTAGCCTTCAAAATCAGTAAAACTGATAATAGCAGACGTCATTACCATATAAAATCTAAGGCTGAGTTGCACCACCAAAATATAACGGTAGGTAACTATGACGATAACCGGTGCTTTTTGTACGGAGTTTGACATATTTTGACGTTTGTCAAAGTTAAAGTAAGATGGGGAGCAACCCAGCCTTAGAGTTGTAGCGGAGTCGCGTTTTGCCAGCTCACAAAAGTATCTCAATTAGGCAATTACCAAATAGACGAAGTCTAATGCCAAGGATATACAGCCAGTCATACATTAGACTGACGCCTGACCAGGTGGATCAAATTATGGTGGGGCCGTCAGCGCCGTCAGCGGGCCCATTCAATCAGCAGCGTAATTACTCATGATCAGCAGGTTAAACGCTGCGGTGGGGGCGTAATGACGTCATGTGTGATTCTCTGTGGGGTCTCGAGATAATTTTCTTGTGGCGAACACTAAACTGATGGAGTTTCCATCTTATTCCGATTTGGAAATCTAGTCAACTTCTGCCATTTCAAACTCAATTGTAGGATAAAGTTTGAAAATTTCACTTGCAAAAATTATGTATGTGTTTTTGCAAGTACCACATTTAAGAAAATAGTGCAAACTCAATGCCATCACGAATTTTTTGCCAGTTAATCTTTGGGTGGAACAGGATTTGTTCGGCAGTGCTTTAAATTGAATGAAAGAAAGAAAAACCTTTACTTTGAAATTTTCTTTGAAGCCACTTTCACGTTCATTGATAGCGATATCCTTTTTGTCAACTTGTTTCTCAACTGAATCTTAAAATCATTAATCTGTGTTACTATAATATAAGACGGCTTCCTATCTTAGTTCGTGCCAATAGGTGCTCATTAGTATCAGCCCGCTATAGCGTGTAGCACAAAGGCCCGTATCAATATCTGCCTGCTGCGATTAGGCAGCGACAATACCTGGCCTCGATTGGATCTACTTGACAGGTACCTGCTTCTGACCGTGAATTAACAATGCCTAGGTTCAAAAATCCATACTAAAACTATAATTAGCTTTAGAAAGCTTTAGCTTAAAATCAAAGCTTTAGCATAGAATCGCCTGTAGGAACGATCTAAAGGCTGACTAAAATCATCATTCCAACGCAATTAAGAACATCAGGCCTCATCATAGACGAGACGAAGAAACGGAAGCCTAGGATTATAGTACTGNTTTATTTATTTATTTATTATTATTTATCATTCCACTTCAATTGATTTAAAAATATGTATGGTATTAAATATGGCTGGCTGGCTCAGTTTTCATCCAAAAATGGAGTTAGTTTTTCTACTAATCCAGCAATCTACGACTGATTTGACGTGGAGTTATACGACTTACAGTTAAACTTTTCCATATAAATAAAATACGACGTAAAAACGGCTAAAATATTTTACAGCTTATGTAAATTCCACAAGCACTGAAATCTTGGGTCCAATATTTTGCTGCAGCCTTACACCTAGGTATAAACGAACAATAAAGTGGGTCAGAACTCCAAAGATATTACGTCAACCGATGAATTAAGCGGATTGGATTCATTCAACTTGCACAAAGTTTTATTGAAATCCTGGGCGTTATCTTGACTGGCGGCCGTCTAATTGAAATAGATTTCGGGAGGATAATTATGTCATAGTAGATACTCAATTATTTAAATACCATCCCAACTGGAGCGTTCGTAACTGGGACAGAATTATCACAATGGGTTAGGTACATACAAAGTTTCGAATTTGACGAAGACCCCGGTTTCAGAATAACTGCTTCATTTTTTGGGGATAGGTACAAATCCGTGGTATTCGTAGATGAGACTATCTTGTTTTTTAGATTTGAAAACAAAGACGATAACGAAGCTTGAAATGAAGAATCGACCAACAACGGATTAAAAACTGTAGCGAATGCGCAAAAAAAAGGAGCATGAAAATTCAGAAAGCACTACTGCGATAAAACCTGTGGATAAAACTCATGGCAACTATTAAAAATCGCAATGAAAAAGTGCTTGTTAAAACTTCCATTGAGAAAAAACACGTACCGAGTATTATGGGTGAAATTGTCGAAAAACCGAGTGGACCTATCATCGCGAATAAAGAGCTAAACGATCGAAGTTAGACGTTTTGTTTTCGATGTGAATTTCGATGGCTTTCAATTTGAACGAACACGGCGACTGTTTCCAACCAATTCGATATCTATTGCACGTTAAATTGAACAAAAAACGTTTTTGCTTGACTGTTTGCGTATGTGGACTGTTGGTTTAAGTTTGCAGTAAGAATTGTTGATATTGGACGACATAAAAGAGATAATTTACTCTCTGTGCATTAGTTTTAGTATTACAAAACATTATTACCGCAGACAAAGTCCACAAAAATGCCCGTTAAAGGGAATCAATATAACTTTGCTTTGAGAGGTCGCGTTTTGATAGCTCGTAAGTGACTTGAAAATAAAATGGTCTTTTTTTAACAAATAATTTGTACACAGACTATTTATATATACAGAGTATTTTCAGACAAATTATTCAACGAACAGACATGTCAACAACTAAACCCCTTTGTATTGAGTGTAAATCTAACAGGCTCTACTTCGTGGAACTAGTCGGCGAGATCGTAGCATCCCACTAGAGGGCGCCTCTGCTGCCAGTGAATAAGTAATACAAACATGACTATCCGTTTTCGTGTGGGTGGTAGTGGTATGCATTAAGTATACATTTATTGCTTAGTTATTTGAAACGAAATCTCCTTTTTGCAGACGTATAGTTTTTCCTGTAGTTAAACTAGAATTTTAGACACTTTTATTACCATTACAGAACTAAACGTTAACGTTTCTAATATACCTATTTAAATGGAATTTGAGAGTAAAAGCATTGCTTAGACATTATTGTATAATATTATATTTTTTTCGAATTGGCGCTAAATATCCAATTAAATAGTTCTTAATGTAGCGCAAATACCAATAACAATTTTAATATTAAGTTGTGGTGAAAGACATCAAATGATTATTATCAGATTTTTGCTATCCAGATTCCACAAGGAAGGAACATATTAAATCAAATTCAAGAATTAAGATATCACTGAATATCTAATATCTTACTGAAGTTAATAAACGTATTTCAAGGGAATTAAAATTCAAAGTAACTGAACATATAAAGTACGACCGCTAACGTTTAGTTAGCAAACTGCAACATACGAATACATGAGTGCTATGCAATTACAAAACCGGGTACCAGCGGCCCCTTTCCAAAACGTTTAAAAAGGTTTAGCGTTCAACTCCAGAATTGCTAATGTTAAAACGTGTTGTAACGTACGTGCGGGTGCAATTCGTACCTGTTAATTTTAGTTTCATTCCGAAATGAACGCTGGCGCAGCTGGGCCTCGATTAAGCTGAACCATCCGGATAATAACGACCCGAGCCGATTAGAACCGGTGATTAATTGTTAACAAATAAACGAGCAAACTTAAGGGATCGCTAATTGCCTACTCATAAATGAGATGCGTTCGCCTTTTTTCGGGGAAAATTATAACAATAATGTACAATCACTGAAATAGAGCACACAATCAGTGGAATTGAACAAATTATGAAATTTAATCATACATAATGAGATTAATGAATTATGTACCTAGTTGTCGGAATTATTGAGCGAAAAGTGGTTGATTCAAAAGTGTGCTATCATGGACATTATTAGTCTCCTCAAAAAATTTGCTTCTGATTGAGTTTGATAAATGAAGTTTCATCTGCAATAACAAGCTTTAACTATGTTTTGTTTACATAAAGTACAAACTACGTATGACTATAATTAACATACTACTCTTACATGCATTTTAAAATACAAATTGATTACCTACTATGAAAAGGGTGAAAAATGGTCATTTATACCTAGATACGTAAAATGCGTGCCTCACGTGCCCTCGCATTTTAAACAGCCATTCATAAATGATGGAATCCATTAAAATTCTGATGCACCCATCGGTTTCCATGCACCTCGGTTGTTTGGTAAAAAAACTGTTAAACAGCACAGTATATTAAACGAATATTATTTTTCAGTATTCCTGTCATCATTTACCAAACACTACAGCTTTATGATCCTTTTTTCCTACTAATAATTCTCACTTACCTTGCGTAGTTAGTAGCCAAAAAGTTCGCAACACGTCTTTGTTACAATTGGAATAAGGTTGTGTTATCAATTATTATCACCTTTTTGGCCACTTTGGGTGTCTCGGACAATTTGACGCTGACTGTACACAATTACAATGAAATATTAGGCGTATCCTATACTATACAATACGCCACTCTTTGTCAGCTTCATTTGTGAAATATATACAATTCCGTATGTATTTTTTGCGATTGCATAATTAATATCAGAGTTACATTTCACCCCGGGTTAAGCGTACCAAAATTCGAATTTGCATAATGTTAATGAGATCGACACATTACTGACTGACTGTTATCGATACTCGTATATTACCATATCTGCTGTTCACATCGTTTAAACAAATATTGCTCAAGACTTGATAGTATGACATCAATCATGATGTCAGTTATCTAATGATCATTGAATTATGGGAACACTTGGAATTCTGTTTCCTTGTCAAAGCTTCATAGGTGACAATGGTGGAATCTTGAATTACAAAATATCCTATTCGTGAATATGGCGGGAAGAGAAAAAAAATGACGTTAATAAAAACAAATGAAAACACTTTCTTGTGTACTCGAGGTGAGTATTGTCGTTAAATGTGAATAAATTGCAAATAATACGCTTTTCTGAAATCGGTAGGTATCACCTTTCTATCTTTGTGGGATCGTGGTGGAATCCCAATGTGTTGATTTAGCAATAAAACCTATATTCTTCATAAAATGGCAGAATAATGCTCATTATGCTTAATGTTTATTAAAAAGAAATAACAAAAAGATTTGACGCTGTCTGTCAGTTCAGGACATGTCTATTTACATTTAAATTCTCAGTAAACTTATAAAAAATGGATAATTTCATAAAGAATATCAAAAAGAAACTGTCTGTAGATAATCTTGTGGACATAATGAAAGATTGTAAGAAAGTTTTATAATATCCTTGGGTTTTTCATAAGTGGAGTCTTGTGATTATGTTATCATCATGCATCTCAGCTTCATCCTAGTATCTCCTGCTTTCTTGGCGATTGATTTATTGTTAAATTGTTGAAGTTATCCAGTACGATAACTTCAACAATTTATGCTATTAAAATGATATTTTTAAAAATAGTTTACCAAAAACATTGGTACCTATTTTAGCTTCTTGCTTTGACTTTTAGCTCCGAAACGATCTCTTTTTCAGATTACTGAATTTACTAACTGATATTCAATGGGTAAATCTAACTAAGCTGTTTCTGTTTCAGCCAAAGTAATAGACGAAAGCACCATCAAAGAAGAAGACGTAAGAAACACTCTTCAAAAACTAGATCCTAACTCAGTCATGGACGTTGATGAGATCCATGCAAAACTTAACGAGCTCTCTGAAGAGGTCAGCAAATCTAAATCGAAGACGGAGACTTCTACCACTTCTACGAGCAAACGTATTATAGACGTGGCTAAATCCAGCATCGGAGCTTTGGGAACAACGGCAAAAAAAGAAGAAGAACCAGAGAAGAATCCAAACGAAAACGAGTATCTGAAAGCGTTAGGCAGAGAAGAAAACGTATTCAATTTGTACGACGACTTCCATTAGCAATTAAAGTTGCATTTGGATTGACAATGGTTTAAGGAAGTTTGGATAAGCAAAAAGTTATCATTAACATTGTACATTGATATTCTTTTACAGCAATAAATTATTTAAATGAAATCTTTGGATGCAGTTCTATTTCTTTAAACAATAAAAGGAATAATTTCTTTGAGTAAAATCTATCTACAGTAAAGAGTACTTTCCCTCCAGGTGGCATTACAAAATGCCACCCTGTATAGTCAGATGTGCCGTCGACTGTACGAGTACGTAAAGAAGTCTATAAAAAGTGTACGAGTACTCACATTCCCATGAGGGCCCTCGCCCAAGAAGGTAACTGGTCGCATGCGCCCCCGCGGGAAGTCTAGCAGGGGCGCCACTCCGTTTGGGGGCTCGGCTTCAGGTAGTTTGATGGAGGTGAACAGCCCAGGCGTGGGCCGTTCACGGCGGCATGCGCGTTCTTCCGGGTACGTCTGTGGGCAAAGATATACTTGGGTTAAGGCGATTAGAGTCCTCAATGACCTTGGGCGTTTGACCTTCACGCCGCGAGCAACACCCGCGTACCCCGCACCAAAAACTCCGATTTGACACCGATCAAAAATACACGGGCATAGGTAGATACAGAATAGAAGCTCTTTCTTCATACATTACTGCCTATTATTTTAAACTTAAATTGATGAACCTTGATGTCGGTGTCATTTAACTCAGGCGTAAAGGTATTTAATAAAAATAACAAAATCCATGAACATTTTGTACGGGATAAAATTTTATTTTATTTTTCGTAAATTTTCTAATGCTTTTGTCGGTTCAGTCGTTCTCGAAATTTGAACAAACCCGACTTTATTACAAGCTTTTATTTAGCTTGCAATTTATGATGTATGTAGGTAATTACATAAATGTTTGTTCGGGTGGAATCTTGCAAGCTGAATTAGTTGCAAGCTGAATTAGTTAGACCAACTTCCTGACGACAACTAGGCTAGATGACAAAATTTCAATTATTTGTCCGCCAGACAGATAATTAGAAAATATTAGACTCATATTTTTTATTTTCTTTCATAATTAAATAATAACAGTGCTACATCGAGTTGAAATGGCGCGATACGCCACGCTTGAGTAGAATTTTTACTCAAATGTGACGTCACGCGACATTTCAACTCAATATAATACTGTAATTATTCGATTATGGAAAAAAATAAAAAATATGAGTCTAATATTTTCTAATTATCTGTCTGACGGACTAAATAGAATTTCGATTTCATTACCCAGTCATCATCCCTATTGGAACGCATTAGTACCTACCTAGTATTGTCTATGGCCTAAAAAAGCAAATGTTTCTGCTTTTGTCTATCACTTATGAAGAATAAACTGAAAATGTATTTGTCTTTTTATTAGAAATCCTTCATCAATTGATTGAGTTCAAATTTCGGATATACATGTAATTCGGGTGACAATGCAATATTGTGATGACATGGAGCTGATCTGATGGTAGAGCTGGAATGCCAGTGGCCCCATAGCAACTCCGGGAATAAACGATTCCATCGAGTTTAGGCTCGTTTGATTTGTATTTATTTATTATTATACCTAAATAATTTCATTACAATTTTCTAAAAATGCACAAAAACTTAAAAATCTTGAAAACGGTGATATTTTTACTGGGGTCAAAATTGGACGTTAGGGAGACCATGGCGAGGCCTATCGATGGTTGAAGGGTTATCCATTGTTTTTGGGACACCCTGTATAAGCAAGTACCTAATGTTATGTAAGTAGGTACGCTACTTTGAAAATCATGAGTCTTCAATTCTCTAAGGGAAACTGCAGGGTCTGATGATGGAGCTGGAATGTGGCCATAGGAATAGGCTAGTTTCTTTAAAAAAGACTTTTGGTCCGTCAATTTTACATTATCAAAAAATATTGGACACAGGATATTTTTATTTTTCAATTAAACAAGTAATTACGAAGATAATGATGCGATGAAATTCCGCGTGACGACACAAATCGCCACATTTTTAAGCATGCCTTGACGTCATGTGCCTCATCTTCTGAACTTTGGTGCGCTTCATCTCTTTAAATTTTCATAAGTTTAAAAAAGTGAAAAATACATTTAGAGTTTTTTTTTGGTAAGTTCACCGACGGTCTTATTCAAACTCTTGCTACTTTCTTGCTTTATCCACGAAACATCCCTATTCTTCGAAATTATTACGATCTACAAACGGAAAATCTCTGCTACTACGCCGCAGTAAATTCCCCATCATAAATAAAAAGATTTTTTTTAAAACAAGCTCTTGTATGCTAATAATTTTGGTTTCATGACATGCTCCTAAAATTCATCACCTTATAAGAGGATTTCAGTTTTTATCTGCGAAACTTTTTAATAATATAGGTACGTTTCATGGTTTGGTAATTTAGGGAAGTTTATTTGCACTTAACATGAAAAATATGGTATCAATGTACTGAGTACCTATGCACCTTCAGTGGCAACAACAAGGTCTACTGGGTACCTATAGTCTACTAAAGGCATGAAATAGATTAATTTCACTAAAAATTAAAACCAACTCCAAAACGAATCACCAAAAGGTAGGACACCGACACCGACTCCGAAAATGGCTAATTTTGTAATCAGTATCCAAATTTTTAATAAGCTCTATAGAACAATTCAATACCACTTTATCTTAATTTTTTTTAATGTGACAGGAGGCAAACGAGCAAACGGATCACCTGTTGGTAAATGATTACCGTCACCCATAGACACCCGCAGACCCAGGGGCGTTACAGGTGTTATTTTTAATTGTGGTATTTTCGCGAAGAAACATATTTAAAATCTAATTCTAATAAGTATGAAAAATATAAATTGTTTTCTTCACGTAAATCGATTAAGTTACAGATTCTGACTAGCTCCTAATTTGGATACTGATTGCAAAGGCCTAGTAAATAAATAACGTAATAATTTTTCTACTTGTATTTATCTAGTGCAGTTGTTTTGGAGTCAATTATAGTTTTTTTACACTAATAGATTCTATTCAGGTAGAAAATAGCGTCTGAGCGCGTCATAATTCAATTGTATCGTCTGACTGCACGTACTCTATGAACAATTCTGACATAAAATCTATTGTCGAACAAAAGCTGGGTTGCACCATCTTACTTCAACTTTGACAAGCGTCAAAAGTCTGTCTAACTCCATACAAAAAACACCGGTTATCGCCAAAGCTACGGTCAAAGTTAGGTCACGTCAGGTGGTGCAACTTAGCCAAAGAAAAAATTCATTTTGATCGCTAATGTCAGTTTGTAGCGAGTGACACAACCTCCCCGTCTGAAGGCCAGCGGCCGACTGCCGCCCGCACCCCGCGAAGGCCCCCTCAACAGCAAAACGTTCGGAATTTATCAAAAGTAAAATTTATGAATGAAAGTAATGTTCGATTGAAAAACGCAACGTGTCATTTAAAGATTAAAGAATTCCCAATCTATTCGTGCAAAAATCTTTTAAATTAACATAGCCGTTTTGGAGGAGTAGGGAATTTAAGTAAAAAATCGATGTCCCGTATTTATTTTTTTAATCCAAAACAAAAAGATGTAGCGAAAATTCAAACGTCACAAATGTAGTCCTTGAACTGTTGTATAACATATATTTTTTTCAACTATTTCTGTCCAGCAGTAAAAGAGGAGTAGGCTTTACAAAATGCCCATTTGGCGCGGATTGAGGACACTAATCGCCTTAAGTTCTGTCCAGTTCTGTTCTCTTGTGGAGGTAACAAAATTTGCTCTATGGTTTCGTCGAATAGACAAGTGTCGCTATTATGATCCCTGGACCTCTGGACAGTTGTGGTGGACCCACTCCCAACAAAAGCATATACCTTCTTAGATTAGGTGAATTTACCATTTATTAAAAAAAACCCTCAGTAGGGTAGAATTACTCGTAATTTAACTGATTTTGTACATTTGTCTATACATTGGACGAACTGCACCTAATTAATTTACAGTGGTTACGTAATAATACTCGGTAAACGACGGTACTGTTCAGGAGTACAAGAGAACAATAACAGCCTAATACAATCCGTCCCCTTCGCCGAAAGTTAAATAAATCTGGTAATAACGTTTCTTATTTTTCCGTAACAAGTAGGTACAGGTACAGAGAGGGGTGCATGTAAATTATTATTACAGCGACGTACGTACTGTCCCCGCGGGCAACATCTGCTCCCGAGGCGCGGCTCTACCTAAACATTCAGCTCAAATTGTTGTAGGCAACTCACGTTAACTCACAATCTCGCCCTGAGCGACGGCCATCTTATTAACCAAGAATTAAAAGCTAGGTTACGTAAATGCGAAACTCAAACAATACCGAATCGTTTTTTTAGGCCGTTTGACTAATAACCAAAGTTATAAAAATATTTCTTTGATAATAATATCTTTTCGTTTCGCCTATTTTCTGTTTAATCTAAACTCAAAATTATTATACAAAATCTCCATTTATATTACGGCTGTCTTATTTAGTATTAATACTGAAGGACGTGATTACAATTAGCAGTTTTTCAGAGACGTTGGAATTAAAAATGTATGAGAAACGAATTAGTGGAGGAACAGAGATGTATATTCCCTTGCGGAGGGCAGTTTCTGGAATCGAGATCTTGCTGCTGCTTTGTTTGCGTTAGCCGAAGACAAATGGTGATAAATTATGTAGAAGACCTCGGAGTGACTAATCCACCAGGGAGAATGTAGGGACTAGTAGTGAAATTGCTCAGATCTTGTCACGACAGTAAAGTGAATTGTATATTAGGTTTCGATTGAGTTGTTTGGTAGAGATGTGATGAGGGTACGATGTTCTGACGAGGTTTCCAAGTTTTCCCATCTTAGATCAATCTTTACCGACAATCTTGAATATAAATTCACTTTGTATATCATACATGTTAAGTATTTTCTGTTCGCGAAAAAGTAATCTGTCAGCCTATTAACGTTTCACCGTATTATGCCGTCTTCAAAGCCATGGGGGTTTGTATCATTAGTGGGCATTAGCAAGTACGTACAATATAATTGATGGATGGAAATAGAACGT